GGAGAATCACCTCCCTCGACCTGCTGGTCACGCTTCTTTTGATGCAGCCCAGGATACGGTTGGCTTTCTGGGCTGCAAGCGCACATGGCCGGGTCATGTTGAGCTTCTCATCAGCCAACACCCCCAAGTCCTTCTCCTCAGGGCTGCTCCCAACCCATTCTCCGCCCAGCCTGTATCTGTGCTTGGGATTGCCCTGACCCATGTGCAGGACCTTGCACTTGGCCTTGTTGAACTTCATGAGGTTCGCAGGGGCCCACCTCTCAAGTCTGTCTAGGTTCCTCTGGATGGCATCCCTTCCCTCCAGCGTGTCGACCACAACACACAGCTTGGTGTTGGTGGCAAACCTGCTGAGGGTGCGCTCAATCCCACTGTCCATGTCACTGACAAAGATGTTAAACAGCGCCGGTGCCAGTACCGACAGATTTCATGATATTTCTTGAAGGGATTAATGCATCATCTTTATGGTAGTTAAATTTAAGAAAGTGGCAACATTTAAAGGAGTATTAGTTTTTCTCCTGAACAAATTCTTGGTTTATTGAATTACCAGAATTGAGCAGTTTAGTAATAACTTAGGCTAAACACTTAAAGGAATGTCATCAACATTCTTTTCTGCTGGCAAAGAAGACTAAAATAATAAATCATTATTGAAAATACCACAGGCAAATCCAACAGATTTAATAAGAGGAAGGATGTTCTTACATTGTATGTGCCAGTTAAAAGACTTTGGTGCAGTTTGTTGTATTCAAATGAGAATGGACAAATAACAGACTTCTCCAACTCACAGCTTTATGCTTCATCAAAGCAAGATTTGAATCATGGTTTCTGATTTCAATTACATTTAAAGTCAGTAGAGCTCTGCCATCTTCTTTTTATTTTTTTTCTTTATGTATTATTGACTTCTGAAGTCAGGGACAAACTCTATTCTCGTTTACATTTGTGTAAATACAGGAAATAGCTTGGTTTTGCTTCTATTTTTTATGTAGCTGTTGTAATTAATTCAGTATTCATTTATAGAAGCTAAATATATTACATATTTCAGTGATGCTAATCTTGTATAAGATGAACTACTTTTTGTAAAAATAGTCATGTCTTTGTTAGATGACTGTTGGATTGCTACCTATTATATAATTTGACTTTTTAATTATTTGCTACTGCTCGTGGTAATTCCTCACCTTTGCAGGAATAATATGACTTACTGATTCGTAGTCTTTATGTTAGCATAGTAGACTCCATGTTTAGAAATTGTCAAAAACTGGTATTGATGTCTTTCTTCAGAAAGATTTTACAGCAAGTAATAGAGTGGTATAATCTTATGGAATTGGCATCCCTTTAGTGATTAGGGAGAAAAAAACTGATCAGAGGTCTCATGTAACCTGCGGTGAGCTGAATTAGATATTGAGCAGAAAACCTCACTCTGTTCATTTGGGATATTATGTGCTTTCATTTATATGTGTGTGCCCTCATTAAAGATCCCAAAAATAGAAGTATGTGGTAGTTAACAAAGAACGTACAGAGAGGAGTGGCACATCAAGATTTTAAGAAAATGTTGGTGATGCTCAAGACACCGTTCATTTCAGACATTTTAACCAAAAGTAAATAAATGACATAGTGGTGATTGCCTGATGATTTAGGCTTTTAATTTTTACAAATGTGTTAGTTATTGGAATTTTTTAAAATGTTTTGTAAGAACATATTTCAACCAGTGGATTCATGCTAAAATACCTACTTCTACTATGTCTAAGAGTATTCTATTTTTTCTTAATCTGTGTGATTTACTATGCTTTGTTTACCCATGATTGAATAAATGGTACCATTTGATGTTCTAAATATAATTTTCTAATAAATATTCTTTTTAAGAAAAGTATGCTCTGAAAAAAAATCCAACATCACTTATAATTGCAGATTTATGTTTCATGAGCATTTCTAAGGCATATCTTTGTAAAACATCTTTTACAACATTTTATCCTTTTCTTTTTGGATAATATTCTTAGAAGTAAAAATCAAATCATAAAATGTTGATATACATGAAATGTTAAAGGTTGTAAAACCTATCAAAATATGTTTATAATGTTAAAAACATTTTCAGTATTCACCAGGCACTTTTTAAGAGTGTCAGAGGGCTTTTGGTTATTTTTCATTTCCCTTCAAAATCTAAAATGTCCCAGTCCTCCTGCATTGTTAAATGTTGGATGGAAGTTGGAGGTCAGTGGAATTCGTTAAGATTTGCTCCAGTAAGTAATCAGTTTGTTCAGCCTTAGGTGGAGGTATAGATTCCTCTGTATACTGCAAGTACTTTCTTGTAAAACTGATCATGTTATTTCTCTTGTTTACTCTATGACTTTGCTAGCCTGCATTTCTTCAGTTGGCCTTTAAACTTCTTTTATTCCTCTGTACATGTGTGTGTCTCAGTGTGACCATCTCTACCTCCTAGATACAGGGTGAGATGGATGAAATCTAATGTGCGTTATAGTGCCCGCTCTTCCAATTCATTCCGTACTGATCTGGAGGATCTGGGTTGACATTTTTATTATATTTGTATATTCTCCACACAGTTTCTCAAATGTCTTAGGAAAAAAAACCCACAACCTTAAGCTGACATGTACCTACATGAAACCTAAATGTCTGTTTCCTATGAGTAATCAGTCTGTAGAAACTGCATATAATTCTAGTTTCAGATTTTCCCCTTGGATACAATTTGTTTTGAGTATCACGTCAATCATGTGTTGCTTATCTTTCAGCATGCTGCCTTTTCTTTCTAGTATTTAATTGGACAACAGGAAGCTTCAGAAAGCAGTTAGGTAGGAGCCTGGTAACTGTCATATGTTCTCTGTGTTTCTGTGATGACATTTTTATGTATCACAGGTGCACAGTGAGAGAATGTACTCCTACATCGCTTATCGAGTCTGATAATTTTCTGAGGCCTTTCCCCTTTACATTGTCAAATTCAGTATACTCAGGCTGGTACAGGATATTTTTAAAGGACAGAATTATTACTTGCACTGCAAATAACATTGCAATTTTGGTAATGCTATTTAATTCAGTGAAGCAGTCAGCAAAGCAAGGGTATGAACACTAATACCTAAACACGCCACCTGGGGGGTACAATGCATTCTCTGGAACAGAGGTCGTAAGAAATAAGGTAGGCAGAATTTTGTCCCGTCCAACTGTAGTTCCTTGGTTTTAGAGGTGGCTGAGCCATCTGCCACTTTTATTGACTTCAGTGGGAGCCAACATGCTCATCACTTACTTAAGCAGTGTATATGTTCACAGGAACCATGTAACAAAACTAAGTTTATTGTTTGATGCATATGCAGCTTTGTATCTTTTGGAGCGATAAGGAATGTGTAGTAAAACAAGCCACTATGGAAGCACAATTCGGCTGACATTTTAAAAATATAGCATTTTTTTAGAATAGCATTTTTTACTGTATATAGATGGGTGCATATTTGGAGAGTAATACTCATATGACGGTATGATCACATTAAGTTATATAATCTGTTTCTTCTGGGGTTTTTTTTGTTTGTTTGTTTTGGGTTTGGGTTTTTTTGTTTTATTTTGTTTTTTATACATCCAGGGTAGAGGAAGGGCAATGAATTTAAGGAAAAACGGCGTTCAGGACATACTGTATGAGTGGAAACTTTTTGGGACTGAATCCATCTTTTAGTTCTGTGCACACAGCAGCTAGCACAGTCCATTGGGATCCACGAGAAGACTATTGAACATTACTGTGATGGGACCGCTGGACGCACTGTTCAGTGTTCAACATCTCTACATAGTATAGTTCGTAAAAGAAGTGAAAAAAACCAAATGGTGTAAGCAGTGGTGAGGGCTGCCATATCTGCATTTGAAAGTACTCTCCAAATGAGTAAGTGTGTTGCCAGAGGTTTGTGAGCACCAGAACCACACTTTCAGTGTCTACAGCCTAGCAGATTTGCTGAAAAAACATCCTGCTGTGAAATGCTGGAGAATTCTATGCAAGCTCTGTTCCCAGAGTGATGCACTGCCAACAGATGCCAGGATACCGGGAATGAGAAATATATAAAAGACAGGTGAAAACTATATAATCTGTTCATTTTGAAGAAACCCTTCATATTCTTCTGTGCTCAGTAAGCTGCTTTATTGAAAGGCTGTGACCACGATGAGTAGTTTTTCGTTCTTCTTGTCTTTACAGAGATTTCTTGAGTATTAATATAAAAGGCTGTTTTTAGGAAAGGGGGAGATAAAAACTGCATCTAGGGAAACAGATTGCCAGTTGACTCTTTAATAAAAATAATTTCTAAGTTTTTAGTACATGAACCAATAAGCAGAACTGGAGAGGTTAAAGTGCTGTAAGCTGAAAAACTATACAGCTGGAATGAAGGAGGAGACTGCAATAACAGTTATGCAGGTGACAAACAAAAATGAGGTATTGTATGTTTAATGATGCTCCAGAAAGTACGTAAGAGGAAACTTTGAAGTATGAAACCATTATCCTAGGAATTTTAATTGAGCAGGTGGACATGGTGCTTGATGAGGGACTCCTGAGCTGCCAAGCTACAAGGCATGCTTACCTGCTTTCTCTTCTTTTGTTTTAAATGTGGTGTGGTTTTTAAAGGTCCAACTCTCCCTGGCACCAGTATTGGGCTGGGTGTTGGGCTTCAGTGGCACACTGATCTCTGTGTCTGTGATAATGTCTGTACATCTTGCTGTCAGGTGCATTGAAAGCAATATTCAAATGTCTATATTCCTTCCAGATCTCTGTGCCTAGTGCCTAGTGTTTACAGCTCACTGGTTCTCAGTGCTACCCCATCAGTGCCTCACTTAGACCCACGTAATCATGTGTGAGAAGCACATAGCTCTTTTCACTGACTAGCCATGGTTTTATGTAGCTCTCACAGGTGAATATGGCCCTGAAAGGGCACTGCGGTGATCTTCAATTTTCTCATGAAATTTTGATTAATGCTGATGGATAACATACATGTGGTATCTCTGCTAAAATCAGAGCTAGGTTAGACAGCTATTAGTCTTGTACTGTCAGTTTACGCCAGTGTATCTGAACCCTTTGTGTGATGAATTGAATGGTTTGAGGCTGCAGCTTTCTGGGGATCACCTAGGATAAGAAGTGCTCTGCAGATGCAAAATACAGTCTATTAAATCACTGTTCTTGATTGTGCTTGAGAAGTGTTCAGTCCCACGTAGATGCTTGAGAAGGAACTTAAAGCAGACATCTGCCCCAAGCTACTGCAGAAATCATGCGTCTCCCCATACTCATACCCTAACAACTACTGCGTTTGGTGCTTGAATTTAACACTGATGGGTGCCTTGGTTGTCTGATGGAATAACACTTTGATGTTTCAGAGTCAAAAAAAGGTTCTTCCTTTCTGCTACTACTCCCCT